AGAGAGAGAGAGAGAGAGAGAGTTTACAGTTAAAAAGAGTGATAAAAAAAACCGAAAACGTAGAATTTTTTCATGTGAAGTCTAAAATTTATTTTCAAAATATACATCAAGCACGGATGTACCATCGTTTATCTTTTTCTATTATTTGTCTGGCTGCAGTTGATGCGTCGCGACACAAGTGCTCAAAGTCAATCAGACTGTGTGCGTGCGTGTGATGTATTCCTTTTTCATATCTTTCCACATCGTGATAAACTTCATAAAAATGGAGTTATATATATTAACAAAAAAAGTTGTAAAACTGCGATAAAAGTCAGACCATTTTGATGATAGTATTTACAAACACAGGCCTGCGCAGAAATGATGGTTCCTAGAACGAAATAAAGGTTTCAATCATGCGTATATTCAACGACTTTGAAAGTGGACATTCCTGAAAACAGAGATTTCTATATAAATATTTTGTTTCCTATCTGTTTCCTTCATATAAAGAATTATTTCATCACAAAGTATTAACATTGTAAGAATAGACAAAGCCATAATTGTCCATTCTACAACGAATTTGCGGTTGCTGCGTGCTAATGCATACTCTGAAAAAGGCTCCTATATCGATCACATTACATATTTCGATCTAGACGCTGGACTGTTACATTTAGATAATTTTATCGGCAGTGAAGCCTTTAAGTATGTGTACATCGAAAGTGAATTCAAGAGTAGCTGTACAAAACTCGTTGCGTAAACGAACATATAGACATTGTAGAGTCCGACTGGAACTGAATTTACTTCTCTTTTCTAGGCGGCGTGAAGAGCATGAGCCGGGAGAGTGGTGCCGGAGCCGGCGGCGGGGTCGGTGTTGGCGGTGGCAACAACACGACGTACACACGATCAGTGATACCGCGCGAACTGGCCCAGGACTTCGCGAGGCCGCCACGCCTCGATGTGCTTCTCGACATGCCGCCAGCCTCGCGAGAAACACAAGTCCATCACAGCTGGAACGCCGACGATCGTAGTCTAAATATATTCGTCAAGGTATTGATTACAGAAATACCGATAGCTCTTTAAAAATCTTAAAAAATATATGAGTAAATGTAAATATATTTAACTTTGTAACTATAATTTATCTTTAGTCAGACGTTTATCAGTTAAAGGATCTCACTAATTATATGGAAAAAATTATTTCAAATTGGCTGAAACTGATATTTTGTAACTTATGCTGATCAATAACCTCCATAATTACAACCATTAAAAATAAACAAATTTTATTGTAGCATCCTTTTAAAGTTATTATTTCGAATCTAATCATACTGAAAAGTACCTTTATCTACAGTATACAGTTAATTTTTTTAATTATATAAGTATTGTACAGTTAAATACGTATATAACGTATCATACGTGTGTTTTTTATTGAGTAATTAACGTCTCACTGTGTGTAGATGAGGAGGAATGATGTGAGAGTATATGTATTGATATGTGTGTATTTTTGTTGATGGCTATTCCATTAGTATGTCTAACATTATTACATATGGACACACATAGGGTTATGTTTAAATGCTTATACAGTTAAAAAAATGAACTGTGTACTGTAGATAAAGATACTTTTCCAATTAAACCTAATAAAATAGGAACTTTCAAATAGTATTATAGCAAATCTATCCATTTTTAATAGTTACGTGTGGAGACTTTTAATCAATATCTTATAAACTATAAAATAATAATGTTAATTTAACTGAAATTTTTTCCATATAAGTACGAGATCCTTTCTTGATAATTCTAGTTATTGTAACTGTTTCAAAATTACATAAATATCAGTCTCCCTTAAATAATCACAAAAGTGAAAATACCAGAGAGACTACGATTTCTGCTCTTTTTATCGTACAACTCATTCGAATTTAGACCATGGTGAAAAAATTACATGGTGTGTGTGTAGTTCGGCCAAACCACGCCTACTTTTGCTCCGCGTCGTCTATAATGTGCAAGAACTACCAACTGTGAAACGCGCGAAACATGGGGCGGTTCATAGCCCGTTCTTATTTTAAAACCGTCTTAAATAATGTCTTAAGATATTAATACAGTCCTCAGATTGACTTATGACTGTCTTAAGATTGTACTTAAGACAGTTCTAAATGTAAGAATCGACTATGAATATCGACCTGTTTCGCGTCGTGAAGTTGATACTGAATCTTTCCTTGTTTAACACACTTTGTTTCTCTTTCTATAGAAAGGAAATCTAAGATGCATTATAAAGTGTGTCAAACAAGGAAAGATATCCCTTCCCACTATGAGTCCATAACCACAGACGGAGAGGGCAAAGATATAGTACGGAATCCATAGATGTTGCTCAAGACTCGAGATAGTCTTAAGCTAGTGCTTGAACCAATCAGAGAGCCGTATTAGCATCTTAAGACATTGCTTGAGATAAGATCGGACTATGGATTCCGGTCTTAGATAGAGACACTATCCAACTGCACACGCTACACACCATGTTATCCCTTCCATCATCATTTAGACTATCAAAAAATGTATGATTCATTGATCAATACTGATATGAATTCGTTTACTTTATCCATGTTACTTTACTATCACTTTATTGATGTTTTGGCAGGTTTGTAAAGTGTACTTTAGATTAGAATTTTGTTTCAATAAAATTAATGTTTGTTTGTTGAAATCGAGTTTCTCATTAAACTGTTTTCGTTATTTTTCCTAGGAGGACGACAAGTTAACGTTTCACCGACATCCCGTCGCGCAAAGTACAGATTGCATACGAGGGAAAGTGGGGTATACCAAGGGTATGCACGTATGGGAGCTTTATTGGAGCACGAGGCAACGAGGTACACATGCCGTCGTAGGAGTAGCAACGGCGGATGCACCTTTACATAGTGTTGGCTACCAAAGTTTGGTAGGGAATAACGAGCTCAGTTGGGGTTGGGATCTTGGTAGAAATAAACTCTATCATGACTCAAGAAATAACACTGGCGTGACGTATCCAGCCCTTCTCAAGTCCGATGAAACGTTTATTGTTCCTGACAAATTTCTGGGTGAGTAATTCCTGTGTAATTGTAATTGCACGATTGCGTAATTTTGAGAATTTATGAATTATCGTGCAAAAGGTGTATTAATCAGAAATTTCTTCAAATCAAGGTGTATCATAAAATAAATTAGAAATTTCTTTATGAGTCTCTTAAACTTCTTATCACAATTTCTCTTTACAGTTGTCCTCGATATGGACGAGGGCACGTTAGCGTTTGTAGTGGATGGTCAGTATCTTGGGGTAGCGTTCAGAGGACTCAAAGGAAGGAAATTGCATCCTATTGTGTCCGCCGTCTGGGGACATTGCGAGATCACGATGAAATACATCGGCGGGCTTGATCGTAAGCGAATAATCATAATGATTTTTTTTTTAATATGTAACACTATCTTACGAAGATATTTAAATCTTAATAGATAATTTTTCTTGTTTCATTTTTTAAATATTTAATGGATATTTATTAAATATTAGAACAACGAGTAATCAAAACAAAACACATCTGTCAAATGTTGTTGCGCATTGTCGCGATCCTTCTTTTAATTAGATGCTTATCTTTTTCACAGCCGAACCTCTGCCTCTCATGGATCTCTGTCGAAGAGTGATTCGACAGCGAATCGGTAAACATAGACTAGAAGACAAGATCAATGAGCTGAATCTACCGCAGACGATGAAGACTTATCTTCTATACCGGGACAGAAGGTAACCACTGAGTGAATCTCCTCAAGATGCCACGATTATGACTGCGAACATCACCGCGTTAGAACGTTGCCACTACGACTCACAGGCGACCGTCCGCTATCCTCTTACACGCCAAGAACAGCAACCCCTTAGCTGCGCGTCTCCGTTAATCAAGCGCACGATGTTGAACAGACTGACATGCGTCATGCGCCGACGCATCGAGACACGCCTAGTACTTCGAGAAAATATGCTAAGAGAACGATGCCGAAATACCGAAACGTCGAAATATCGATAACGACTCGAGGCGCCTTTATTAAGACAAGTCACGATGATCGCAATCCTCATCAACGTTATTACCATCGCCGATAAGTTCAACTCGATGAAGACAAAGTTAAAAGACAAGATGGAAAAGGCGGGGGCTTTTAACAAGATTTAGAAAAAAAACGTTTCTAAATTTAGTTATTTTTTAATGTTGTTTTAAGTTGCTTATTGTTGTCTCTGTTTTATGTTTCTAGTACGTCTATCTATGGATAGTGAATTATTATTTATTGATTATTAGAAAATTGTACCGAGAAGATCGATGATCTCGGTACTTACGCATTCGTGTATATTATATGCATTTCTTTTAAATGTTCGCTTTACTGACGATACGTGTATGTGATGAATAGAATTATACCAAACGATGGCGATGAGGTACGACAATTTGCGCAATGTCGGAGACACATGGTTAGAGACGAAAGGCAAAAGATTATACGAAAACACGAAGAAACAGCGCTTCGCAGTTGGCCAGTAAAAAAAATTAACTTAATCAAGCCTGGAGACTGATACGGACGTGTCGCTTACAACGGTTGATCAATAGTGGATAGCGCTGCTGACTCTTAATTCTGTCGGGGCAGAAAAATGGTGAAACAACAAGAGGAAGAAGAAGCGAACGGAGAAGAAGTGAAGATTTTTACGTCGGCGAATAATTAAAAATTGTCGGCGAGGTCGTAATGGATCGCACAATTGTGGAACGATTAATTCAATTTAAAGTGTATAGTGATGGACATCGGGCGGCCACCTTCCAATAGACTCATTTTTCAAGTATTTTCTAAGCATGCTAGATTTAATAAAGTAAAGTGGTGTGTGCGTGTATCGTGGATGAATATAAAGCAAAACAGAGACACGATGAAGGAGGCACGAAGAAGCAAGAGAATACAGTTAACCCTGCCATAATATTCTCTTTAGCAGTGTTCGAAAACATAGACTTTACAATTGCGAATTCTGCGGGGGAGAGACCGAGTGAAGAATGCAAAGATAAAAAGGGTAAGCATCTAAAACTCGCGCTGTGGTGAATCGAATAAAAGACGTCTAAGTAAACTAATAACGAAAAGCATGTTACTAAAATTAATTATCTACATCTAATTGATTTCAAGTGCTGTAATGACTTGCGAAAATAGTATGTATTTAACTAATGTTTAAGAGAAGCGAATGAATACACGGGCATTGGCACAAATTATTCCAAACGCGAATTAAAATTGTCATGGAGAACCGCTATGTAGCAAATCCGGTAAAAGGGTGACGAGTAAAACGATGTCGACTACTCATCATAACGATTATTGGATTATCGATCGTAATAGTTACAATAACGACAATGACGACGGTAAACAATGATGCTGATTATATCGGATGTGTAACTATTATACTATTAGCATGACAAATCTTACGACTGGGCTCTAGTATCTCTTTACTCTTACGTTTGTCGCTTAGGTTTAACGACTATGCCACAGTCAACGCTATGTCGATTTGTATATAGATATATTGATAATATTGTACGACGACGTATACGTGTGTATTGTGGATGATGATTGTATCCGGAAACAGGCAGACCGAATGCGAGAATGGTACCATCTTCATCGTTTCATACAAGCAAAGCAATCATCTCGCGTCGTCAGACCTCCGTTTCGGTATATCTTACTTTCTGACACGCGGGCTTAATGCGGTTCCAAAATCACCTCGATTGTTAATCGCTGATGTCATTGTTTGCATTACCGGCTTAAGCTCGTCCGAAACTCGGATCGTATCGCGTCTTCCAAATTATCGTCAATCGTTCGTAGCGTTTATTTGACCATTTTAATCTTCGTTGAACGTAATCGCGTTTATTTTCACATCTGTGACGATTACATTTCTTCTTGGTGCAATTTCCCGTGATGACCTGTTTGAATGAGCCCAGTTCGCATGCTGGACATTCTAACAATCATCACAAAGCGTTTGGAGAGATAGCCAGTCTCATGTCATATCCGCAACATTTTCAAAAGCACGATCTCGCACTCGGGAGCTTTTGATCAGCTTTGGTGATTTTCAATATCCGGGAGCATGGTCTATTAGCGACGTTGCTTTCGCTATCTTTTATATCGCGGAATTCGTAGGGAAAATGCGCTAATCTGTGACGCGCGAAAGGATCGAATGATAAACGGTCGGATGCGAAGACGACTCCTTGCGAGAAACGTATCATCTGTCCATCGACACGTCGTCGTCAAAGATAATTCTGTCATATTGTGGAAACTGGGAATGAGATAGAAAGAGAAATGCTGCGAGGGTGGCGAAGAGGACTTCTGCGACGGAAAGGAAGTCGTCCTCGTTGTTTTTACTGTACAGTAGCAACGGATAATTTACTTTGTCATCTTTTATTCGGCGCCTGTGCATGAAGGCAAAACGTCGAAACAGTTCTCTCTAGCGGGAGGACTTTGCAGTTTGCATACCGCGATAGAAAAAAAATACGATTCTAAGTACGTGTACGAGGGAACATTACGTACCCGAAGACGCGCCTTAAGCGTTCACGATTCAATGTACATTCATTCATGTCGTTCATATATCGTTATACACGTGCGAGAAAACCGAGAACACTAGTACACGCGCGCGCGCACACCCTCAGAAAGGAAGGTTTTTTTCCGCAACTATAAAAAAGTTATACTTATTGCTACCCGTTGAACCGATACTGTTTTATATGAATTATTGCCTATAGGAACGCATGTCACGAGCCGAGCATGAAAGAGGACAAATAGGATGAAAATATTGTACAAAATTATTATTAATGATCAATATTAATATTATTACTGTATCGATCCCAATAGTTTAATTAATTACTCGGTCGTCGTTATCGTGTTAGTCAGGTATTTACAAATATTACGATATAATTGTGGTTTCAGTTTTTATACGATAGGGAGAAATGTATATGCGATCGATCGAGATATAACAATTGAACATAACAGAGAATTTTTTTTCGAATATCTTGACCACCATTCTTTTTCGAAGAATACTAATAACTCTTATGATTTAAATTAATTTCACGTTATTTAAAGTGATGGCTTGTTTCGAGCATAGCAATGAAGTAAAAGAAATAAAATGAAAAGAATTAAATATATTCTAAGCTGTTTTATTTTGATATTGACATATATATCAAAAAGGTAAATTATTAATAAAAAGATAGAGTAATTTGGTCTTTTTGATCAGTCTTAATTAAAATTTTTATTTCTGATAATAAAATTCTTATTACATACATTATTTTCCATATATTTTTACTCACATTTGTGATAAAATGAATAATATACATTATTATAAAGTATGTATCATATGATACAGTAATTAAACTTTATTTTTAAATATTTATAATTACATTTTAAAATAAAACTGAGATATTTTATTATCTATTTAATGTAAACATATAGTATGTTTTTAGGTTGTTTAATCATCAATTAAAGTTCGATATTGTCATAAATTTGAATTCATTTATTGATATCTGTACTTACATTACTTTTTACTGATACAAATACACATTTTTATAAAAAGAAAACAATTCTTTCATTATTTTTTTCAAAATAATTTACTACAGCTAAAAATGTAAATCAGTATAAAGAAAAAGGTACCGAATAATATGCACAATCTAATTTTATTATATGATTATTCAATCCAATGTTATTATAATGTCATAAAATGCGGAATAAAATAGGCTAAAAAATTAAATTATATTTAAACTCAATATATAACTCATATATGCACATCTGGATTGAATTACACCTGAATTAAAAAAATCGGCAAAGTCAGCTATCGTATAATTCATAATTTTATGATTTCACAGTACATTTTTTTATGGAGTTTATACGGGTATATTTTTTATTTTACACTTTTACAAGTAAGCTTCTTACTCCTGAAACTGAAAAGGAGCTGAAAAGATAGTTAGACTATCCCGATTTTTAACTTACACCGATCGATCGCATACAACGATAAGCACAGGCAAGTTAGCTTTTAATAATAAAATCGCGATAGCGAGTCCAATTCGTTCGCATGCGCCGCGGAAAGTGTTCCAGCAAAATTCGCGTGGCTGTTGCAAGGATTAATTTCCGTGAACTGCCTGCCCACCTGCCCTTGCAAACTACGTTGCCTCGACAAATGTGTCTAATTTATTAATGAAATGTGTAATGGGTCGATAATTAGCGAGTTTAATTAGTTTAATTGAATGCTAGTACTCTAAAAAGAAGAGGAAGTATGTGTAAGAAAGAGAGCGAGAACAATGTTAGTATGTTTGTATGCGCGTGATGCGCGTTGAATGTATACTGCATGCATACGTGAATGTTGTGAATACTTATTCATGACTTATTTTTTCTTCCGCTTTTTCGTTCGCAAATTGTTATCGCTTGATTTTGAATTTTATCAAAGTGTCGTATTAGTCGTGGTCCAGAAATAAATTTCGGTTTTCTCATGATAATAGCTCAACAATTGCTCTGTAGAATACATTATTGTTTGATAATATGTAATAACATCTAATATTAGCTACAGGAATAAACATGAAAAGAAAAGATTTGCGTAGGAATTGTTTTTTATACAACTATCTCTACGTAAACGAAATAGTGCTAAAACTGCACACGAGTTCAACATTCGATCAAGAATTAATTATTCAATGCACAATTTAGCTGCATTGCGAAATTTTCACATTAATTATAAAAGCCATAAAATTGTATTTTAACGAATTAAGAATTATTTTATCCCAAGACAACTATTTTTCAAAGTAGAATAAAATATAATCCTTCAGAATTTTAAATACTATAATATGTTATAAATTATGATATATGTATATTAGAGCCCAAGAAATTTTAAGATTAAAATATGCCTTAAAAAGTTATAATATTTTCAGAAATATGTTATCTTAAATATTAAATTTATGATGATTTCACTGTGTTTAAAAATTCGTATATTCATGAATAATAGAAATCTCTTTTTACTATTTTTTAAATAAAATTTTTTGTATAGAAGACTAAAATTTTAGAAAATTAAAAAAATAATTTGTAATCATATATAATAGCCTATATATTTGTTTTTATATCAATCGGAACAAGGAAATTTTATCATTTTCAAACAAAATTCAGATGAAATCTTATTATTTTAATGCATTTTCTTCCAATATTAAAAATAAAATTGAAATAGAAAATTGAGACTTAT